TCATGTGAGGTCCATGGTTCAATATTCAGTACTGGAAACCAACAAACAAACAAGGGAAAAGGCATAATGGCACTTTTGTATAAAACAGTTATTCTAGAAAGGGAACATTCAGGTGGTGACAAGACATTCGTGAAAGCTATTTCACTCGCTAGGATCAGCAAATTACAAGAAACATCATGGATTAAAACCTAGCCTAGGGAAAAATTTTGTCTTATTTTTCAGAGGATTAAGAAGTTCACTTAATGCAAGAAGAAACTAATCTCGTGTACTGATTACCTTTCATGCAAGGGAACAAGCAAGCTAGTCGATTCCCTCCTAATGGTCTGTTAGTCATTATTCCTAGTGGGGGCCATGAGTCACTGGTTTCAGCCACTTGAGACCAGACCTAGGAAGTCCAAGTCAAATTAAGAGAAGTAATGAGGACTCCTCTGAACACATCCTCAGATAAATCAAAGTCACTGCCTGCTCTCAGTGCCTTTAGAAGTGGGCCTATTTTAATCAGTCTCACTTAGTCTATCTTCCAGTCAGTTCCTCATTTGCAAAGTAGGCATTATAGGTTATCAGCAACCTCACATGGCATTGACTATCTCCACATTCTATGCCAGACTTGGTGCCAGGTGGTGAATAGTTACTAATTAAGTATTAATGAGATGTCAACTATATCCATTGTCAACACTTAATTACTTGCCCAAGCCATCTACAAAATGTGGAATCCTGGGGCTAGAAGAATAGCTCGGTGGGTAAGAGTGTAAATGGAGGCTTCTGTACTGTAGCCACTTCTAAATAATCACTCAGAGGCTTAATATTAATTACAAACCACTTGACCTATAGTTCAGGCTTATTGCTAACTAGCTCTTACATTTAATTAACCATTTCTGTTAATCTATGTGTTGCCATGTGGCCGTGGCTTTTCCCAGTTTGCTGGCATCTTGTTTCTTGGGTGGCTGGCCTGCATCTCTCTTGACTCTGCCCTCTCTCTCTCTTTCTCTCCTTGTATTCAATTTGGCTTTCCCACCTAGCTATATTCTGCTTTGCTGTAGGCTAAAGCTGCTTTTATTATTAACCAATGAGACCAACATATATTCACAGTGTATAGAAGACTTATCCCAAAGCTTAAGAGTGCTTGATAACACAAGCATGGGGACCTGAATTTGGATCCTGGCATGCATGGCTAGGTATCCCTATAAATCCAGTTTTGTTGTGGGTGGAGTCCCAGAACATCTCTGGGGCTTGCTGGCTATCAGCCTAGCTCCAGATTCAGTGAAAGACCCACTCTCAAGGGAATAATATAGAACATGGTAGAGCAAGACATCCAGCATCTTCCTCTGGTTATCTACTGGCCTCCTATCTCACAGACATGCACAACACAAACACACACACACACATGCACACGCATACACACATGCACACGCATACACACACCAAAACAAAACCAGAAATGTGGACTGTTCAGTTGGATGCAAACTTGCCATCTCATACCCATGCTCACCCTCACACATGATGACATCACTACTGTCTACCACTGGTATGGATTCAACTCCTCAAGCCTGAATTCTCAGTCTCTTGGGTCAGAGGAAACAAAGTAATTGCATTATTGACCTAAGTGCTTCAAAATGAAAACGGCAACCGGTTTCCATCTCCCAGGGGCAAGTTTGGGGGGTTAATGGTCATTACGATTATCTACCCCACATCTTCCTTTCCATTAACTGAGAAACATTAGGCAGTAGCTTACTAAACATGTCTGAATGTAGGAGGATCCATTGGAGGGACAGGACAGATTCTATTTCCTCATCAAAAAATGATCAGTAGGAAAACATTTGCAAAGCTCTTTCCCTTCCGATGAAGAGGTCCTAAATTTTTTTTCAGCATTAGTTATATGGTTAAGAAATAAATAAGTTTGGCAGAGGCACAAAAGAAGGTTGCAGAAGTAGAAGACTGGTACTGAATAGAATATTACTCTTCTCTGGAGCCAAAGTCCTATCTGGGGATTGCCTGGATTAAGGTTGCCTGCCTACAACACAAAGTACAATGTTATGTTTGTGTTTCAGATAAACTATTGTTTTAGAGTAAATATATTCCTTATGCAGATTCGGGACGTCTTTCTACAAAAAAATTATTTGTTGTTTATCTGCAATTCAAATGTAACTAGGTGTTTGATGTTTTGATTTGCTATGCTTGTTAACCTTACTCCGTTTATTAGCTGCATGCACGAGGGCACGGGTCCATAAACTCTGTGTGTTTTATCCATAAAAACCTGTTCTTCAGAGGATGACAGCAACACTCCTCTGCTCAAGAAGATGCCTGCTTCATTTTCTTCCAAACACAGAAGGATAGCACTACCTCAGTTTCCTGAAGTGAACCCCGAGGTTTGCTTTAGCCAATGGAAAGCAGGAAGGCATGAATCACCTCCAGGTGACTTTCGTCTCCAACTCCAAACCCAACTCAGGTCCATGGGAGAGGAAGAAAGCTACATGTGTGGTTGTAAATACTGAACTCTGCGAGTCTGTCACTGCGGTATTCCTTAGCTGTCTCCCTTTGGTTACTACTGCTGTGATGAAGACCATGAACAAGAACAATCTGTGGAGCAAGTGTTTTATTCATCTTACAGATCCTAAAGCACCGTCTATTGAGAGAAACCCAGGCAGGAAACCAGGGGCAGGAACTGGAGCAGATGCCATGAAGGAATGATGCTTCCCAGCTTGCTCTCCATGGCTTGTTCAGCTTGCTTTCTTTTCTTTTCTTGTTGCTTGCTTTTCTTGTTTTGGGTGTGTGTTTTGCTTGCATATGAGTCTGCGTGTATGTCTGCATACTACCTGTGTGTCTGGTACCCACAGAGGCCAGAATAGGGTGCTGAATTTCCTGGGAATTACTGGTGGTTGTGAGCTGCCATGTAGGTGCTAGGAATTAAATCTATGTCCTCTGAAAGAGCAGCCAGTGCTCTTAACCTCCGAGTCATTTCTCCAGTCTTTCAGCCTGTTTTCTTATGCTACCCAGGACCACCTGCCTGGGTGACATCACCCCCAGTGGACTGGGCCCTCCCACCTCAATCAAGGAAATCCCCCCATGGACTTACCCACAGACCAATCAAATGATGGCATTTTCTCAATTGTGGTTTCCACTTGTCAGACTCCAGCTTGTGTCAAATTGACAACAAACAAATCTATGAGACTATTAGCTCGACCTGCTTGTGAGTTGTTACGAAGCTTGCATGAACAAATAGTCCCCAAGGACTCAGAGCATACCACGTTGGGCACCACACAAGGACAATTCTTGGGCTAGTGGTGTGCAACACTGTTCTTGTATGGTGAGGGAATCGAGAAAAGCGTGTTTGTTCTCTATTGGGTTGCCATAACAAAATACTATGGAGTAGATTACTTAAACAATGGGCATTTGTGTTCCTGATGATTTGGAGGCTGGAATCCAGAAATCAGGGTACCAACATGGTCTGTTCCTGGTGAGTGCTCTCTCCCTGGTTGGCAAATGGCCACCTTTTCCCTATGTGCTCCCCTGGTCTTTCCTTGGCGTGTGTGGTACACAAGAGACAAAGGAGAGGGGTTTCTTCCTTGCTTCCCCTCTTCTGTAGAACCATCGGTCCTATTGAATTAGACCTCACCTTTATTTCCTTATATATCCTTTACTGTTTAAAAGCCCTCTCTCCAAATCATGCCAGGAGCCAAATCTTCAACATGCCCATGTTAAAGGGACACAGTTCAGTCAGGAGCACAATGCAAGTGCTGATAATAAACATTTATTGTCTAGTTTCTTTTCTCTGGGCCTAAGACATCAACCCACAAACCCCTGTCCCTAGTGTTTGGTAATCAGCTCACCAATGCAGGAACAGATAGCTCAGTGAGTTTCTTTGATCATTTGACAGGTTTTTTTGAGTGTGTGTGTGTGTGTGTGTGTGTGTGTGTGTGTGTGTGTGTTCCTAAAACACTCCTCTTAGGGTCTGCTACAATTGCAGCGTGGGTTATAACAGAGCAACAGACTTGACTGCCGACGGCCAGGGTTAGCACTCTGCAGAAGCCAGCCATGTGCACAGTAATTCAGAGAGGGCAGAGAAACCGGATCCAGGGGGGAATCACGAGCAGTTAATGAGAATCAGATGCAGTGTAATTCAGACCACAGCACACATCCTGATCTCTGGGCACAGGGAATTACATCCATAAACAGACTAGACTTGATTTTATGCAGCACTTTCAACCCCCAAAGAATCCCAGAGCACTGTAAAGCACACCCTTGTTACTGGTGGCTTAGTAATGCAGGAGGCAAACAGGGAAAATGTGTCTATAACTCAGACTCAGAGCCTTCATTTAGAATCCGTGCTGTCTACAGGGGCTGGCTTGACTTCGATGCTAGGCACCCTTTACTGATACGAAAAATATACTGTGCTTCCTTCTTGATAAAAATACACCCATAAAAGAAATTCTAATATCCTCTAAAGAGGTTTTCAAACTTTGACCTTGAGCCATGGCAAGAATGCATAGAATCTATCAGCCTCACTGCCTAAGACTCTTTGAACATGTGCATCTATGCTTTTATAGCCATCAGAAACAAAAACCTCACGGAATATTATTTATCCTTGCTGTATGTGTTGTATTCTGGGGTCCTCAATTCTCTTTGTTTTTTGAAAAGCTGACCACTATCTAATAATTGATCCTGGAATTCATTCCTGTGAAGAATCTTCCGTTCTGAAATCCATTTCACTAAAATACACTCACCAAACTCCAACATCACGACAGTCCAATTATATCACAGCAGATGGTTCAGGGACAGTCACTTTACCTTTGAAGTAGCAGGCCTTCTGGGACTCCTCCAGTTTTAACTTACTGAAGTTTTGATGTATGGCACCTGTGCACAGATCGGAACCATGCTGAAGTCACAGGCACCGCTGCGACTGTTTTCAGAATGTCTGGGAGCTGGCGTTTTGAGGTAGAAAGAAAGTCTGTGCTCCTATGTTTCGTACAGAGCTTTGACCGTGCGCAGAGGAGATGGCTTACCTGTGCTGGATGCTCCGTACTGTATCTCCGCTGGCCCAGAGGCTGAAAGGATGTCACACAGCATTTGCTTTCCTCATCTCTGAATTCCACTGCCCTCGCCGTTGGGATTTTTCTCTCCTTTTATGGAAAGATTTCCAATACCTCAGGTATCAGAGTTATTCCTGAGTAGCTCTCAACAGAAATTCTTCCCCTTGAAGAATCTACAGTAAACAGGGCTCTTTGGTTTGATAAGAACTCCAGACTTCTCAACAGCCCAGGTTGGATCGTGTGCCCAGTTCTGAGCCAATCACACTGACTAGAGATAAGCCTTCCTTCAGTTGTTCTGGTCTAGGTAATTTGCCTGTCCTCAGGCCATAGTCACAGACCAAACAAACCACAGTAACCTATTATTTTATCACAAGGGAAAAATCAGAGGACCATTTCCAAAAGTTCAAAGCAGGAATTACAAGCAGGTGATGAAAAAGACAGTCAGCAGTAACCTTGAACTGATTGGAACGCCAGTCCTTGTCTCCTGTTAGGTTTGAAATCACAGAGAGAAAACGGCAGGTTTATTATTGCAATTGGAGAATACTTACCATCGAGAGAAGCGCATGATATTTGCCTCCTCCAATCACTTTTTCTAAGTTGTAGCAAGGGACCTTCCCGCTTTTCAGATGGGAAACTTAATGTGGCATGAACTTCTGGTCGGTCATAAGCCTAAGGACTCAAAGCTCTCTTTGGGGCCCATTAGAAATCATCTCCAGACTTCATGCCGTGCTTTTTTAATGTAACTGTGTTGTACTGAAGCTGTCTTTGCAGGCAATGTTTAAACATGTAGGTTACCTTGGACTAACCAAGGTATTGTGTATTCAATTGATTGGTTCAACCGGAGGCATGAATGCTTGCTCTGTCTTGCACTAAAGAGCAGACAGAGGGAAAACATCCAGGAACGCACAAAACAACACAAATGTCACAAAATCTGACACAGAGGAAGAAAGCGTCTCAGAGAGATGGGACTTGAATACGATCATTTTCCTATAGTTTGCCAATACCATTTTTCTTCTGGGAAGCAACAGAATCAGAACTGTGACTTTTGGACCCTGCGAACATTATTGCCAAGCGTGGGAGGTGGTTAGCTTGCCCCAACACAGACAAGGAACAGTCACACATTCTTTCTTTTGGCACATGTCCCTTCCAACCTATGTACCAGGCCAGAGTCTGGGTTTTTGTTTGCTTGCTTGCTTTGTCTTGTTTTTAATTAGTGTGGTGTCTCAGAGAGTAATTTCTCATTGGATTTTTCAATTCAGACTGGGAAAAGACAGCCCTGGTGTGATGCAGGCATATTTATGACTTTCAAGAAAGGGACACATTTTCTTTTATCACATAATCTTTTATTGATCTTTTGGGAATTTCACCTCAGGCTCCCCAATTCCACTCACTTTCCAGTCTCTCCATATCCACCTCTCATTCCTGCAGCATCCCCCCAAAAGAAACCACCCCCTAAAATTAATTAAAAACAAACAACGAGAAAAGCCTCAGCTCCATCTTCTGTCCTTCCCACGTTTCCAACACCTCTTCATTCATCCTAGTGGCATTAGGAGTGTCAGGCAGTCCACCCTTTAGTCTAATCAGCCTCACTTGCAAATGCTCATCGCAATGAGTCCTCGGTCTGGGTCAAGGCCTCTGGTCTCTAGCACAGCATCACCACTGGACCCTCATCAAAATGCCTCTCCTGCTGATGCCCCAGTTGTGGAGATCCTGCAGCTCTCATTCCACAGGACCAGGAAAGGGACCTATTTCCTCTTATAATGTGCGTGTGTGTGTGCGTGTGTGTGTGTGTGTGTGTGTGTGTGTGTGTGTGGTGCACACACATGGGGGCAATGAACCTGTGCACATGTAGACACCAGAGGAAGACACGAGGTATCACACTCTGTGTCTTGTTTTTTTGAGGTAGGGTCTCTTGAACCTGGCGCTCACATTTTCTCATCAGCCTGGAAGACAGCAAAGTCCACCAGTCCTTCTGTTCCTGCTTCCCGCAGCACTGGGGTTACATCTGCCCGGAGAGTCCCCCAGCTTGTTACTCGGGTGCTGGACTTTCTCGAGTTTCCTTTAAGGCTATTTTGAATTGGGTTTTCAATGTAAAATATAATTGTTTCCTTATAGGTATCACATATGGAGCAAAGAAACTAGTGCTTGTCCACAGTCTAGACCACGTCCCTTCCCCCTTCCTTGGCTTTTTCTGTCTCCAGCTTTCACATCTTGACTTAAATGGTAGGACATATTTTCCTCAAATTAAATATCAAAAATTAAACATAAACAAAAGTAAACAAAATTACCATGTAACTTACCCAACCAATCTCAAACTCTCGATGTTGAGAGAAATGAAAACATTATGTCCAAGCAAAACCTTACATATGACTATCCATAGATAAGTTATTCATGGTAGCCAAAATGAATGAGTCATTTAACAGGTCAGCAAAATGTGGTTTAAGGTAAAGTATTAGTCAACCGTAAAAAGGAAGCATGCATGGTCTATTGATCCACAATAAGAAAGAAAGAAAGAAAGAAAGAAAGAAAGAAAGAAAGAAAGAAAGAAAGAAAGGAAGGAAGGAAGGAAGAATTACTGATAAAAACTGCAATGTGTATCCATCTAAAAACATTGTATGAAGAAATCACTGTAAAAGATCACATATTTTATATTTATATGTACAAGTCTACAGAAAGAGGACAGGTGTGCATGGCTTCGCATGACTGGGGGTAGAAGCCAAGATTAACTGCAAATAAGTGCATGAGAAGAATGTCTTCAAACTGAATTATAGTAATAGTTATATATACAACTCGATCAATTTAATAAAAATAATTGGATAATAATGATAGTGATAATATTAGGCTTCCCTTAAGCCTAAAATCAAATAAGACACCCATGTTAGACTTTCTCTACTTTAACTTTTCTGTTTCACATTTACTCATTCTGTGTGGGGAGGGGCACACAGAACTCAGGACAACTCCCGTGAGCTACTACTCTCGTCTTCCATGTGGGCTCCAGGGATCAAACTCAGGTCACCAAACTTGAGGCCAATGCTTTTTCCCACCAAGAAAACTTTCCCTACTGTAGAAAGTCTAACACATCTTAAAGCCCTTGAACTTCATCTCACACTTCTAAACGATTAACCAGAGTGATCTTGGCTGGGTCTCTTCCTCTTCCTAAGACTAAAGGGAACCGATACATTCACATTGGCTTAGTTCTCACTAATCTCAAACATTATACTGTTTTAATTCTTCCTGCCTGGTGTGACATGCATTCTGAGACATCCTTTTACCCTCTGTCTTATTTAGGGTTTCTATTGTTGTAAAGAAATACCATGACCACAGCAACTCTTATTAAGGAAAATATTTAACGGGTGGCTTATAGCTCAGTACATTATCATGGTGTGACATGGTGGCATGCAGGCAGACATGGTGCTGAAGAAGGAGCAGAGACTCCTATAACTTACAAGCAACAGGAAGTGGAGTGTATAACACTGAATGAATCTTGAGCATATATCAAGACCTCGAAGCTTGCCCTCACAGTGACACACTTCTAACAAGACCACATCTACTCTAACAAGGTCACACCTCTTAATAGTACCACTCCCATTTGGGGACATTTTCTTTCAAACCACCACACCCCTTTTACCTGTCCCATGATGTGCTAAGGTGTCTAGAGCCAGGAAAGTGTGAGGACTCCAGATTCAGGCTGTCTGGATCTGAGTCCCCTTTCTAAACTTACAATTAGACAGCTGTTTTTTAACCACACTAGTTCATCACTACCAATGGGATTTTGTGAGATATTGAGGCTCTTATCAACATCAAATGAGACGATACAAACACAAGAAATTAAAATTACTCAATATAAGATATTCTTAAATAAACAAAAGACCTGAACAGATATTTCTCAAAAGACAACATACAAATGAGGTATAAGAAAGAATACTATTCAACGTCACCAATTGTCTGGGAAACCAGACTAAAACCTTGGTGAACTATCACTTCCCACTTGTTAAACTGGCTATTATGAAGTTGGCATTTAAATGCTGATGAAAATGAGAACGGAAGGGTTGCCAAGACAACTCAGTGGGTAAAGGCTTTTGCTACCAATCCTAACAACCTGAGTTAGAGCCCTGTGACCCACATGGTAGAATGTAAGAGCCAGCTCCTGCACTTTGTCCTTTGACCTGCTCATGGGAGCTGTGTGACCTGCCTCATCTCCATGATGTTATACATCAGGCAGGAATGTCATATCCTAAAAAAGCTCCTACAGCCCACTTAAAGCTTCAGCAAGTTCCATATACTCATCCCTGGGACTCTATGGAAGAAAATCCTAATTCTTCCTTAAATTTTTATTTTGTTTTTATAGTAATGTATATGTGGGATTTTCCTCTATATGCTATGAATATGTTTTATTATCATTTGTTAATAAAGAAGCTTCTTTGGCCTATGGCAGGCAGAATACAGCAAGGTGGGAAAATCAAACAGAGATAGAAGAAGAAAGAAGGCAGAGTCAAGCAGACTCCATGACTTGATTTTGACAGGGATTTTATCCCAGCAATGAGAAAAGTCATGATTACAATAGCCAAGGAAGAGAATCACAATTGTCCATAAGGGACGAGTGAGAAGATTGTAAGATGTAACACGCATGAACCCTGAAATGGAATCTGGCCTTTAAAGGACAGAGTATGATTTAGCACTCTGGTTCAGCAGGAAAGGTGCCTGCTGCCATCTGCCAGTCTTTGATCCCTAGAACACACGGGTGGAAGGAGAGAACCACCTCCTGCAGGTTGTTCTCTGACCTCCACACTCATGCTATGACATGCACACACATAAATAAACAAACAAACAAATAAGAAAATAAAGTAAAAAAATTAAGCAGAATATCTTGCTGGCCACTTACATCTAGACCTAGACACTCAGAAGACTGAGATGAGGGTAGGGGAGGTTTGAACCTAGGAGCTCAAGACTGACTTAAACGAGATAGTCAGGTGCTATTTTTTAAAAAAAGAGAGAGAGAGATAGGTAGGAAATTGTGTCATGTGTGAAATTGAATAAATCTAAAGGACGCCGTGGAGGAATAAAATAATCCAAGGACAGTTAGACGTGTGGGGTCTACAAAAGTCAAGCACGGGAAAGTAGAGAGCAGAAGTAAGGCTATCTGTATCTTTTAGGTGTGTTCCTGTCTTGGGCTAGAATTACTGAGAGAAGGAAGTTGTCCTGGTGTGCCTGGATGAGCATCCCAAATGCCATACAAGCGAGAAGAGAGAGGTGGGACTCATGAAGAGGAAGAAGGGCCATGTGACTCTGGAAGGAGAGAAAGAGAAGCAGAGATGGGGTATTTTCTTTTTATGGCAGTGATAGAAAATGAATCCAGAGAGACAGACAACTAAACAAATGGGATCTAATAACTGAATGGGCAAACAAGGGAGGAAGGAAATAGATACCCAATGAAATCGTAAGTCTAGGTTTGCTGATGGTAGTACCAGGAAAGGGAGGAGGTGAGAAACTCAGCGAGTCCTCTGAGTTGTTTGTGGGATGAATTGTCAAGATGGTCAGAAG